ACACCACCATCCCCACGTTGTACTTTTGATAAATGTACAATTATTCAATGTAATTGAGTCAAGATGGCTACCATTTTCATGTTATAAGAAAAACATTGTATAGTACACATTGGTTTGGTGTGTATCTATTATTCTAAAGTTTAACTATTGCATGATATGTACTTTAAAAGATTTACTGAAAAGTGTATGTTGTTGCTTTTTCAGCAATGACTTGTCCTAGACCACCCAGCTATGACAATGCCACCCCTGTAGACCAGCCGAAGAACTCATACAAGTCAGGAGACCATGTGGCTTATAGATGTCAAGCACATTACCAAATGGATGGACCCAATGTTGTAGAGTGTAGGGACGGCATTTGGATAGGAACACCCACATGCAAAGGTATTTTGATGAATGGCTTCTGGCTTCATTAAAAAATAGATGTAGGTTCTGGTGAGGCCAGATGAAGGAAGGTTTATGCCTCAACATAGAACAGTGGTTCTCAACCTGTGGGTCGCGACCCCTTTGGGGGACGAACGACCCTTTCACAAGAGTTGCCTAAGACCATCGGAAAACACATATATAATTACATATTGTTTTGTGATTAATCACTATGCTTTAATTATGTTCATTTTGTAACCATGAAAATACATCCTGCATATCAGATATTTACATTATGATTCATAACAGTAGCAATATTACAGTTATGAAGTAGCCACGAAAATAATTTTATGGTTGTGGGTCACCACAACATGAAGAACTGTATTAAAGGGTCGCAGCATTAGGAAGGTTGAGAACCACTGATATAGAGGATCGGGATGTGCACTCAGTGCTGGGCATTGGGACCCCAGAGCCCTCAGAGTGTGACCCCGGAAACAGCTGTGTCAGCATCTCTGGGGAATCGGTAGGAAGGCAAATGCAAACTCACAGGCTCACTCTGACTCAGCATCAGAAGCTCAGCGGTTGTGACCCTGAAACCGTTGTAGCAATTCCCAGCGGGCTCTACGCCCATTTTGTGGGGAACCGTAGCTTCAGCCTCTTATTACTTTATATCCACCCGAGTCTCCCCAATGAACCTCACAGTGCTCACTGCAGTGCCTTTAAGCACTCAAGTTATTGGAGTATTTTTAGGAAACTGTAAATATATTGTACTCTTAGTTTCCTCAGTTTCTGTGTGGATATCTTAAGCAATCATAATCATCTTCTTTAGCAATGTGATATTCCTCAAAGCATGGCAATACGTGACTCACTCTCTAAGAACCTGACTACTGTGCTCATTTTTAAGGGCCTGAAATCCCAATTCAAAAATGTGATGTTTGTGAACCACATTTGGCTGCCAAATAATATGTTTATTATGTGTTTCTTGTGTTTACAAATTCACTTTGATTTTATATCTACATTTATTTTACTAAACTTAAAGAAAAATGCAGAAACCCCAATGACCAGGATGTCATCACGTGTGCGGAACACGGCTGGTCCACGCCCCCTACATGCAGCCGCATCAGTAAGTAGAACGCTGTCCTCTGGGATTCTGTCTCCTTCTTCATTTCATAAAGAAATAGCTGTGGCCCTGGATGGTGTGGTGCAGTGGATAGAGCACCAGCCTGCGGACTGAAGGGTCCTGGGTTCGATTCCGGTCAAGGGCACATGCCTGGGTTGCGGGCTCGATCCCTAGTAGGGGGTGTTCAGGAGGCAGCCAATCAATGATTCTCTCTCATCATTCATGTTTCTCTCTCTCTTCCTCTCCCTTCCTCTCTGAAATCAATACAGAAATATACTTAAAAAAAGAAATAGCAGTAGCCCTGACTGGTGTGGCTCAGTTGATTGAGTGACATCTCTTGTACCAAGAGATCACTGGTTCCATCCCGGTCAAGGCACATGCTGGGGTTATGGGCTTGATCCCCAGTAGGAGGCATGCATGAGGCAACCAATCGATGTTTCTCTCTCTCTCTCTCTCTCTCTCTCTCTCTCACCCCTTTCCTCTCTATCTAAAAATTAATTTAAAAAATTTTTTGGAACTTAACATATAGAAGCTTAAATCTTACCAAAAAATATTGCTTTATCTTTTTTTTCAATCTTGCATGTAAATTTGTGAAGATTTTCAGTCTCAATTGGGTCTAAATGATCACTGCTTTAGAGATCCCTTTTTTCTCTTTATTCAGATCTCTCCTGTGGCAGCCCTCCCACAGTGCAAAATGCCTTTATACCAAAACAGAAGCTTAGGTATCGACATGAGGAGACAGCACATTATGAATGCAGGCACCCTTTTGGCCTCTTTGGGAATGCAGTGGTGACCTGCTTCAGTGGGAATTGGACAGACCCACCTGAGTGCAAGGGTAGGTGTCTCATTCTCCCCTCCCAGTCTCTGTGCAGCCTCTGTAAGCACTTGGCTACTAGACTCCTGTCCAGCTGGCCTTCATTTGGTTACTCAGGTTTGTTGCTCTATCATTTCCTGTAAATCACTTTGGGGCCGGGAGGAGGTGAGTGTAGCTCCCACCTACTCTGCAGCTCCCTTAAAATCAACTGCTCCCTCAATAAATCAAACAATATCCTCTCTTAGAGTCCACAGGAAAATGTGGGCGCCCTCCTGCTATTGACAATGGAGACATTACCACGTATCCATCATCAGTCTACGCTCCTGGGTCTTCAGTGGAGTATCAATGCCAGGCCTACTATGAACTTGAGGGAAACAGGAGAATAACGTGCCGTGATGGACAGTGGTCTGAACCACCCAAATGCTTAGGTAAGTCCTTTAATGTCCTCGTGGACACTGGGAAATCCGTGTAATGAATGTCATGTTTGCTGTTTACAACAGAAGTTGCATGGACTATCACCTACTCTGTTGACAACCAAATAGTCATGTCTGAGGGAATAAAGTCGGAAAAATTCTTGAGCAACAACAACAAGAAACTATCATTTTTTCTCAATTTATTTTCCCCTCACCACTTATGCCCCCTCCACCCTCATCCACCTCCACCACCCATTCAAGGATTCTTTAATGAAAGCCCTTCTTAGCATAGGTGACATTGTGAATGTTGATTATAACATGCAATGATCACTCATTCCACAGAGTACCTCATTTTTACATCATTGATAGTTTAAAATGAGTTATAGCAACATGATGGATTTTCAATGAATTGGTTTGAGAATAAATTCCTGGATCTGAGTATAAGGTTCTACATGAAAGTGTAAAATTCTGTGGAAAATATTT